AGCAGAATTGTTTCTAAATGCTTTCCAATGGGCGGATTCTCATAGTTGACTCTCTGCTAGGTTTTCGACACAGTCGCAGATGGCATTTTGATATATAAGCTAGAAAAATTCAGGCTCAGTGCAACTATCATTAACTGGATATCTAACTGGTTAAACAATCGCAAAGAAAAATAGTAACTATAAACAGAAATGTGTCAGATTGGAGAGAGATTTCAAGTGAGGTTCGACAGCGATGTATTCTGAGTATGGTGTTGTTTGATACCTTTATTAATTGCCAGAATACAGAACTGATTAAATTTGTAGATGGCACAAAGCTGGAGAGGTTAAAAATATTTTGGAGGACTCAGAGGGATCTTGATAAATTGAAGAACCAGGATATAAACAACAAATGAACAGGGCAGGTGTAGCCAACCAGTTAGACATGAAGAGCCAAAAGAGCTGTGGATAGTAGTGCAAAGAGCCACACATCCCTCCCCAGAGCCAGACACCCCCAACCCCCTGCCTAACCCAATGACCTTCCTCCTCCCCCAAGCCACGCACCTTCAGGTCCCTCCCATTCTAACCCAATGCCTGGGTCTCACTGGAGCTGCCACAGCCATGCACTTCTCCCTCCAGGAACTGGGGCACGTGCACAAAGTGGGCATGCGGCTCCAAACAAGCCATAACCCTGAGAGCCGCATTTCTGTGAGCAAAAAGCCACACGTGGCTCAAGAGCCACAGGATGGCCACCCCTGGAATAGCATGTGACATAGCAGCAGCATTGCTGATAATGATTTGGGAGTCGTGGAAGATCACAAACTCAACACGAGTCAGAAATATGATGCTGTTGCATTAAAAAAATGCAATTTTAAGCTGCATAACAGAGCCAATTGCAGCTGCCTGATTGCAGAACAGACAGCATGTGACATGCCCCTCTACCCTCATTCCCCCAGGCCCACAGCAGCAAATATGGCCCCTGAAGGTGCTTTGAGCACATACAGGGACATGGAAGGCAGGGACTCTGGCTAAGGAACCTGCTGAGTTGCTGGCTGGAAGCCACCCAGGTGCATGTCTCTCAGAGAGAGCCTGCCTCCGGCACCCCAGCTCCTCCCTTCCACAAGCCTCTGTCCCACTCCTACATCCCATGTAATCCAAACCTTCTGCACCCTTGCTCCAGCCCTCATACACCTTCCCAGACACTGCTTCCTCTCCTATACTCCTACTCAAATCACAAACCCCTCCCAAACTTTGCATCCCAATCCACTGTCCCATGGTCACAACTCATATCCCTGAATCCCCTCCTACACTCTTGCTCCAGGTTACGCCCCCCCCCCCCCAACCCTGCACTCCCTCCTCCTATACCTTCCGCCAGGCTGGAATCCTCTCCTGCAACCATATCGCTCCCTGACTCTGCACCCCAATTCCCTATGCCAGGTCACAACCCAAAAACCTGCACCTCTACCCAAGGTCACTCTCCCCTCCCAGGCCCTGCACCCCATCCTGGAATGCAGTCTTCTGCCCCAGGTCACAATAACCTCCTTCACCCAAACTCCCTCGCAGATCCTACACCCCAAGTTACCTTTGGCCTCCAACCTCCACCCCGACTCCCACACCTTCTCTGTTAATATAATGGATGAGTACGGTCCTTGACTGCTTACCAAATTCTTGGAATGGCCCCTAGCAAAAATTGTCCACCCCTGATTTAGACAACAAAATTCTGCATGTTGTCAGGGGGTTAGATTAGCTAACCCTTGCAATCTCTTCTAACCCTCTGATTTTTCAAAGGTACCGAATATCCAGAATTCCCATTAACTTCAAAGTAAAATTGAGTGTTCAGTACCTCAAGCCAAACCAGAATGTTTTTGAGGAGTTTTTACTATTCTCATCCATTGACCAGATGCAAAAAACCAATGTTCCCAAAATAAATAGCAGTAGGAACACATTTTAGAATTCAATTTGAGAATTAGATTGTTTTAATTAACATAAAAGGCTAATTTGTTTGTGCCAATTTAGTGATTCATACTGCTAAAAGATAGCAAAGTTTTGAGATAAAATGCCATTAGCACATCGCTACAAGGCATGACACATGAATTTATGGAAATACCTTGGACTACTCAATATCATCAGGCAAACAGCCAAAGGCCTTAACTGCCATATTAATGTAGATATTTTATTCTAGATGCAGTGCAAGTATGACAGACTATATGGCAGCATGGACATAAAATTAAAATATATATACTTTTTTTTCCTGTGGGACAATGAAGTTACATCACATCACATCATCCACAGGCTGGGGGGGGGGGGGGGGGGGGGCCCCTCCCCCCCGAGGCTC